GCCATCTTGCCCCGTCTCCCTGAAAATTGTTTTAAAGTGTTCTCTGGCAGACCGGGCACAGTGGCTCATGTTTATAATCCAGTACTTTGGGAGGCCAAGGTGAGACGATTGCCTGAGCCCATGGATTCAAGACCAACCTGGGCCACTTGGTGAGACCTCATCTCTACAATAAATCAAAAATTAGCCGGGCATGGTGGCACGTGCCTATAGTACCAGCTACTTGAAAGACTGAGGTGGAAGTATCACCTGAGCCCAGCAGGTCGAGACTACGGTGGCCATGAGCGTGCCCCTGCACTCCAGCCTGGGAACAGAGTGAGACTCCAACTCAAAAAAAAAAAAGTGTTCTCTGGGGTCTCTGGCCAAGAGAAAGTCCATTCAGTCAGTTGGCAGACTTAGGATTTTATTTTACTTATTTTATTACTATTATTTTTTGGGTTGGAGTCTTGCTCTCGGCCATTCATTTTTTTAATGGAAAAATTTTATGGTAGGATATCTATAACACATATACACAAAAATGCATCAAGCAAATGAACATTTCAATGTATTATTACAAAGTAAACCAACAGGTAACCACAGTGAAGCTTAAGAAACAGAAAACTACAAGACCCCAGAACCACCTCCACTGCCAAGATCACAACTGACAACCATCTTGACTTCACTTTGTAAATGCTTTCATGTGTTTGCGTACAGATTCACTGTTTAATATGCATCTCTAAATTAGTTGGCTAGCTCATCTATTTTTAAACTTCATGTAAATGGAATCATCTTTTTTTTAATGTGTGGCATCTTTTGGCCAATATTATATAGTTAGAATTCATCCATGTTGCTTGACATTTAGTCCATTCTTTGCAGTATTGTTTTTTTCTTTGAGGCAGGGTCTTGATTTGTCGTCCAGGCTAGAGTACAGTGGCATGATCATGGCTCATGGCAGCCTTGAACGCCTGAGGTCAAGTGATCCTCCTGCCTCAGCCTCCCGAATAAACTGGGACTACAGGCTCAAGC